TGGACACACCAGACAGGAACAAGTGTTGTCAGGGTGTCACTTCTTGAGAAGCACTGCTTAACAGGTTTGTCCGCTGAGGGTGGAAATGTGGGGCAGAACTTGATAACTTGGGGTCAGTGGCTGGTTAGTTCAGATATATCTACTTTAACGGAACCTGAGGACAAACATAGCTTCCTCTTTCTACTATAAATACCATTGCATGGCATGATTTCTGAGTGTCATTAAGCTAAACACCCTCCCACTACCCCCAGCAGCTCGGTTAGGGAAGGACAGAGAGGGTGAGGTGCTTGGGACTCTGCGCCTCATTGGGAAGTTTTGCTGTTACCAACAGAAAGCTGTTCCCTCCATTGGAATGAAATGAACCACTCCAGAAACTCTAACCAGTAGTCTTTACTCTGCCCTCAGTCCTGCAGCCACAGCCAGTGCAAGGTTTCTTTTCTGAGAGTCCTCCCAAAGCCCAGGGCCTTCAGGCCCACATGGCCGCCCAGCTGGCTGATGGTCCACGTACAGTGAGCCCACGGGAGCCGGCGCCTGCTCCATGCTCAGCCGTGCCAGGGCCTGGACGGTGACCAGGGTTCCAGGTCTTCAACAGGGACCACGGGGCATTTGTCCCACGGTTTACAGGAGACCAGCCTGCCTTCCAGGGGGGTGAGAAGGGCAGCAGAGGCCTGGAATCGGGGGAATGGGCTTTTCGGTGATGCTGCACATCTGGCCTGGGGCCTGGGGATGAGAGTCCATCACGAGGCATGGGTACAAAGTTGCAGGGGTTGCAGGACAGACCAGGCTATCCAGACACTCTCTACCCAGTGGAGCCACGTGTGTTCACCAGAGAAGACCTGAATGCTGACTCAGTGTCTGTTCACTAGACCCAGAGGGCTTCTTTGAGAGAAGAAGGTACAGTCATGTGCTGTATAATGACATTTGGTTAATGACAGACTGTGTGGACAACAGCGGTCCCATGAGATTAGTAGCGTAGAGCCTGGGTGTGCAGTAGGCTGTGCCACCAGGCTTGTGCAAGTACACTCGATGTTCACGCAATGACGAAGTCTCGTAACAACGCCCTTCTCAGAATGTGTCCCTGTGGCTAAGCGGCACATGACTGCATTTAATTAAATAAGATTAGTTATTAGCTAATAAGCGTCTCCTATGTTTCAGGCACTTCCTACAGATCATCTTTAGTCCTCACGGCAATCTTGAAGGTAGGCATTACACCCATTTGACAGATGAAGAAACAGATTCAGCGAGGTTAGGCAGCTTGCCTGAGGCCATAAAGCCAGTAGGCGGCAAAGCAGAATTCAGAGCCAGGTCTTAGTCCAAAATCCACATGGCTCTTCTCATTTCAGGATGACATAGGATGTGACCTGGAACCCCCCTTGCAGGTGTACTCTGGCCAGTGATACAAAGGGTCTGTCCAGGGTGGATCCTTGCCTGGGCCAAGAAGGACCCTGCCAATGGCTGGGTTGTGGATGAGTGGGGCCAGCGGGGATGGTGTGAGCCAGTGCGCTAAGGCTTTCTGTCTAGCCAGAGTGGGACATCCACTGACCCGCCTGAGCATTCACCTGGGCCCTGGGGGCTTGGTTCACCTTATGTTTATTCTGGCTCCTTCTCCTTCTTCCCTCTTGCCCTGCAAAGCCCTTTGTGTAATAGCTTTACCCTTCCAGTTCAATTTCCAAAAATGGTGAGCCAAGGAAGGCTAAACAGGAGGGTTTGTTGTTGTTGACAGGAAACATGCAGGATGAGTCAGGCCAAAGCAGTGTATCAAAGAGCAGGGCAGACGTGGGCGGATCTGGAGAGGGTCTGGTGTCAGCTCCGGGAGGCCTCTGCAGGGGCGGCTGTGAGGAGCCAGGTCTGGGAGGCGTTACTCTCTCTGTGTGCGAGACAGAAAGGACACTCCCGCAGGGAAAGAGTGTCAGGTCAGACCACAGGCTGAACAGAAGTCAATAATGGAGAGCTGATGAAAAGCCATTTCAATTCTACGTCTAGAAGCCCAGCGAATCAGAGCCGAGGGGCGCTCCTCCTGGTGGACGGTGCCGGCCCGATGCCTGGCCGGAGCCCTGGGCAGGAGAGGGCTCGTCAGCTGACAGTGTCAGTGGGCTGACCAACCTGTGGGCCTTATTTGCAAGCTTACAGGAATTGAGGGCCACCTGCAAGTATGGAAGTCATACCGACATCCATCCAACCATTAGGGAGACGGAGCAGTATTATGGAGACAACCATCAGCGTTGTCACCATACAGAGTGCTATGGACTGAAGACTGAATGTGCATGCTCCCAAAATCCATATGTTGAAACCTAACCCTCAATGCAATAGTATTTGGAGGTGAGCCTTTCCGAGATGACTTTGGGATTAGTGCCCTTATAAAGAGACCCCAGAGAGCTCCCTTGCCCCTTCCACCAGGTGAAGGCACAGCGAGAAGATGCCATCTGTGAATCATGAAGCAGGCCCTCACCAGACACTGCATCTGCTGACATCTCGATCTTGGACTTCGGGCCTCCAGAACTGAGAGAAAGGTCTGCTGTAGAAGCCCCCTCATCTGCAATGCTCTGTTAGAGCAGCCCGAGCTGACTGAGATACGTCCTCACACTTACCTCTGTCGTTCAAAATAGTCTCCCTGTGTGTGACAACCGTGAGGACCGGTCCTGGTACTTTCCACAGCATCTAACCGAATTAATGCTCACCTATTTGATGAACTCCTGTCCTTATTTAACACTGTCCTAAGGATGTGGCTGAAGGCGCAAAGAAGCATTAGCCAAATTTATGCCCTCAAGAAACTTGTACACACAATGGGAACCAAAATAGAGATACACAAGGGGCCGCCCCGGTGGCACAGCAGTTAAGTTCACACGTTCCACTTTGGTGGCACAGGGTTCGCCAGTTCGGATCCCAGGTGCAGACCTACACACTGCTTATCAAGCCATGCTGTGGCAGGCATCCCACATATAAAGTAGAGGAAGATGGGCATGGATGTTAGCTCAGGGCCAGTCTTCCTCAGCAAGAAAAAAAAAAAAAAAAAGGAGGATTGGCAGCAGATGTTAGCTAAGGGCTAATCTTCCTCAAAAAAGAAAAAATTAGAGATACACACAATGGAAAATAATGCAAAACACTACACTCCCAATTGTAAGATTGTGTGGGTACAATTCAAATAGTATTGGGGTTTGGAAAGGAGAGAAAACCTTAGCATCTAGAGTCCTAGATTAGAGTAATCAGGGGAGGCTTCCCAGAGGTGGTGAGGCCTGAGTGAGTCCTTGAATGCTGGGTTCCAAAGAGGGGAGATGAATTCTAGGTGGGAGGAGCAGCACAGACAGTCAGTACTAGACACAGAGTTAGCTCAGGGCAGAGTGGGTTCTTCAGTTCTCCGCCCCACGATGATAGTCTAGTCAAACAGTAGATGGTAGGATGATAGATACCAAGACCCGAGGAGGTGAGAATGTGTATTTCTGACAGCCATCTCTGCATTTCAAACCCAATACAGGGAAAGCAGACGCCATTTCTTGAGTGCCCACCCGTGCCGGGCACTTTACATAAATTAACTTATTTCGTTTTCACAGCAAACTTAAGGGGCTATTATCGCTATCCTCATTTCACAAATAGGAAAACTAAGGCTGACAGAGGTGAGGGAACTTGCCCGAGATCACACAGCAGAGCAGCACAGACGGAACTCCAACCTGGGCCCGGGTTCCTGCTTTGATCCCTGAGGTCACGATGCATCTTAGGATCGAAAGCATCTTTACACTAACCTGGGCTTGGGGCGCGGGAGGCACGAGGAGACTGGTGATGGGGGTGATGGTTGTGTTCATGATCTTATTCGGGGTGACAGTTTCACCTGTGTATTCATAGGTGAAAACCTACCAAGTTGTCCACTTTAAATATGAGCAGTTTCCTGTGTCAGTTATAACTTAATGAAGCTGTTTAAAAAAAAATGCTAACTCAGGGCCCTCTTACTCCAAAAGACATCACGACGGGCAGGATATTTCCTTCTTGGCACAAAGAATGCAATGCTCACTACAGAGTGCGCGGCGTGGAGACGGGCGCATGGTGCTGCCCCCGAGGTCCTGGCCGAGACAGGCTCCTGGGGCTCCTGCCCCACAGAAACGCCTGGGCACCGTGCCACCCCAGGTGTCGTGACACCATGCTGTGCCCCAGCCATATTCATATTTCACAAAACCCAGCCCTTTTTCACTCTTTCTATCCTTAAGAGCAGGCGTGGGCCAGGCACACTCTGCCCATTTTGTAACAGATAAGGAAATGGAGCCGGAGGGAGAAAAGCTCATAAATTCTCACAACGTCACCTCTGAGTCAAGGCAGAAATAACAACTGATGTCCTTCCTTCTCTAGCTGCCTCAGGAAGAAACCTGGGCCTCATGGCTCCACCCCCAGCAGAGCCCCCAGCAACGCCCTCCTGTCTGCCCCACTAAGGACCTGGTCCCCTGCCCACATGCCCACAGCCACCCAGCCCGGCCTCCTAAGAGCACACTGGCCTCCTCCAGCAGCCAGGGTGTCCAGGAGTGGGAGGCCCTTTCTTTTTGGCCTTCTTGCTGGTTTCTTTCAACACAAATAGGCTCAGTTACACTGGATTATGCACAGTCTGAGGAGCAAAGGCATAAATTACCCCCAGGGGCATCATTCCATGTGCTGGAGGGATGAATTAACCCAGAAGCAGGACTGCCAAGTTCAGTCTCACAGGTTGCACACTGCACAACTGCAGAGGGCGCCAGTCACATAGTGACCCGCCTGGATGGATTTATGATTTAACGGGAACAAGCAAATCTTAATAAAGATCTCTCTTTACTATAGACAAAAGATTTTGGAACAAGCTGACTTGTCCACGCCAGTGCCAGGAATGACAAACAGCAGATTAAGCGCAGGCTGAGTACCGAGGGAGCTGCTCCTCGCCCCAGCTCAGCCAGGAACCAGCAGTTTGACCTTAGGCAAGAGCCTTAGCTGCATCACTCCCAACAATATAAAACACGGGCAAGTCATGTAAAAACCGTATAACTTACGTATTGTGTCATTATTGTAAGTGATTAAAATCCAGCTGGACTAAAAAACATTAGAAGTTTCTTCTGGCTGGGTCAGTCTACAGTTCTCTGCTGTAAAAAAGATACGATTGCACTGAGAAAGGACTCAGGGCTGGGGGAATGGGGAGGGGAGCCAGGTGGGGCTAGTCTTACCTAAACGCTCTCAGAACGGAACGGAGACACAAACACGCGTTCCACCACTTCTGATATTTTTTTCACCGTCTCCGGCTGGAACAAAGAGTCTTTTTGTGAGCTTAATGGGGCCTGACTTGCCCAACAAAGTTTTTTGTCTCCTTCTTCTTTGTGAGAATAAAAACAAACCTTTCTATCTGGGTTTGCTAGGTTCTTTTGAAGAGCCTGCGGCTTTGGTTTTAGGCAAACAGGAACCAAGGACCGCCCTGGTAAATGAGGTTTTTGGCAAGACTTGCCTCGAGGCCTCCTCCATAAGAGGCTGAGGAGGGGCCGGAGGAGAGGGGAGCAGGAACAGGGAAGGGAGAGAGCAACGTGCCGTGGGCCTGTGCCAGGCGCGCTAAGAGTAGCTGTTACAGCTATTTCTTTTTTTTTTTTAATTATTTTATTGAGGTCATAATGAGTTGTAACGTGTAATTTCAGGTGTACATTATTGTATATCAGTTTCTGTATAGACTGCATCACGCTCACCACCAACAGTCTAGTTTTTATCTGTCACCATACATATGTGCCCTTTTACCCCTTTCCCCCTCCCCCCTCCCCCTTCCTCTCTGGTAACCATTAATCTGTTCTCTTTGTCCTTGTGTTTGTTTATCTTCCACATAGGAGTGAAATCATACTGGTTTGTCTTTCTCTGCCTGGCTTATTTCACTTAACGTAATACCCTCAAGGTCCAACTCTGTTGCTGCAAATGGGACGATTTTGTCTTTTTTATGGCTGAGTAGTATTCCGTTCCATATATATACCACATCTTCTTTATTCAATCATCAGTCTATGGGCACTTGGGTTGCCTCCACATCTTGGCTATTGTGAATAATGCTGCAATGCACTTAGGGGCGCATGAGTCTCTTTGAATTGTCAATTTCAAGTTCTTTGGATAAATACCCAGTAGTGGGTTAGCTGACATTTCAGAGCATGAAGTACCACCAAGCACAGGGCTGAGCCTCTATCATATTCATTTATTGGGACCTCCCTAAATTAGCTCATTTAATCCTTTCCACCACCCATGGAAGGGAGGAACACTGCCCATTATCCGGATCAGGAAGCAGGGACTGGAAGAATTCCCACAGACCAGGTGAGTTCCACCCAAAGGCTTTGCTTCTTCCAGCTGGCCCTGTCTGCTCCCCAGAGAGCCCCAGCTCCGCCCAACCTTCCCAATCCCCCAGAAGCCGGGCTCCTCCAGGCAGGCGGCTTAACAGCCATTCCTGAAATCGCATCTCACTCACTCAAGACAGGGCATCATGCCCCCACCCCCACCCCTACCCCTACCCCTACCCCTACCCTCACTGGCCTTGAGGATAAGGAGCAAGTTCAATTCCAATTCAAACACCTGGAAACTCTGCAAGCTCTGCTCCCGCCTCCAGCCTCCCCCTTGGAGGGGCTGCATCTGCTCCAGGGGGTGAGTCAGCCCCTCCCTGCTGCCCCCACTCTACACACACACACTCTACAACACATTCACACACTCATGTTCACACTCTCACACTCACACACACACACACACACACTCCTTCCGGCGCACCAAAGGGAGATAATGCACAGGAACCTTCCAGGAATGAGACCAGCTCCCTCTCTAATCTCGGGGTGACGTCAGCCCTGTAAACAGTTCACTGAGTGACTAATGATGGGCGTAAGCTCTGAGGGTGGATGGGGGCATCAGGGTGAAGGGAAACAATGCATGTAAGGCATTTTCCTATCACTGGAGTGCCCAGAAATGCGGGGAGGGAGGGAAGGCTTTCCAGAAGCCCAAGTTTGATGTAGGGGGTTGTGAGGGTCCCTTGTAGGAAGTTCTCTTTGGCCGCAGGACCGCACTGATAGATTCAGCGGCGCCACCCTGCCCTGGGCCCCTCCCGTAGGCCACCGTACACACACACTCCGGCGCGTGCACTCACACACACACACATGCACGCACGCAGCAGCAGCACAGCCTCATTGGCTCCACAAGGACTGGAGATCCTAAATATTATCATTAGCATCATGACCAGCATTTACTGCACACTCGGTATGTCGTGCCTGGCATTATGCAAGGTTTTTTCCACACAAAAGAGAAATTTCCAGTTAATTCCCACAACAACCCAATGAGGCAGCTACCATTATTCCCATTTCCCAGATGTAAACATTGAAGCTTAGAGCTTGGGGAACTCCGCCAAACTCCCACAGTTAATAAGCGACAGAGAGCCACTTGTTAACCGGCTGGGTCTTCCCCTCCCATGGAGCGCCTCTCAGGCACTGTATAAGCCTCGGCTGTGGGCCACCTACGCCCAGGTGCCAGTGCTCTTAGCCCAGTGCCCTGCTCTAATTAGCTGCATCCGGTTTGTCTGCATGTCTAATGCCGCAGTGGGTGGACTTCCAGAGCAGTGCCGGACTCAACCCCCACCCCCGGGGCCTTTACCTCCACCAGCCCCTTCCTTCTGCCCTGTTCTCTACAGCTTCTCAAGGGCTCCATACTCTGGAGGCCAAGTGGGGGTGACAGCAGGGGCCACTGGGGGAGACCAGTGACCTGATCACCTTTAGTTTCCCGGCTGTCTTCTGAAGATGTGCAAGGAGGTGTGAATTAGGGAGCCAGAGTGGAGATGGGGTGCAGTCTGCTGAATTCATGCCGACCCCCAAAGATGTCCTCATCCTGATCACCAGAACCTGTGACTATGCCACCTTGCATGGCGAAAGGGATGGGACTAAATTAAAAATCTCCAGATGGGGAGGTGACCTTGGATAACCTCGTAGGTGGGCCCAAGGTAATCCCAGTGTCATCCAACACTGGCCACCCATCTTCTCCTGCCCTAGGACATCAGCTGCCCTGGATCTCAGGGCTTCGGGTTTGGACTGGAACTCCACCCCCACCAGCTTTTCCTTACAAGGAGGACGGGGGTCAAGTCAGCAGGAGGAGCTCATGGAGGGTGGAGTCCTTGGAGGAAGGGACCATGAGCTAAGGAATGTGGGCAGCCTCTGGAAAAAGACAAGGAACCAGGTCCTCCCCTGCCACCTCCCCAGGGAACCAGCCTGCTGAAACTCTGGTTTTAGACTTCTGACCTCCAGAACTGTATGAGAATGCATTTGTGTTGTAAGTTTGTGTTCGTTAGTGACAGCCGCCATAAAATACTAATACAGAGGGAAACCAGAGCAGCGGAGGATTCGGATCAGCTGGAGAAGATCTTGGGGACTCCTGGAGTCAGTTTGGGTGGCCATATAAAAGACTACAGACTGGGTGGCTTGAACAACAGACATTGACGTTCTCAAGGTTCTGGAGGCTGGAAGTGCAAGATCAAGGTGCCCGCAGGGCTGGTTTCCTCTGAGGCCTCTCTCCTTGACCACTGACGGCCCCCTCTTCACATGGCCGTCCTCTGTGCACGCATGCTCCTGGTGTCTCTCTGTGCCCCAATCTCCTCTTCTTATAGGGACACCAGCCAGATTGGATGATGGGGCTCCTTTTAACTTAATCACCTCCATAAAGACCCCGCCTCCAAATACAGCCACGTTCCAAGGTACTGGGGGTTAGGGCTCCAACAGATGAATTTGGGAGGAACACAATTTGGCGCATAACAGGGAGCCTCTGCGCTTGCCTCATTCCCACGAGGCCCTCGATTTCTGGCAGCTTCTGGACCTCCCTAGAGGCCAGCTTGAGCTGAAGCAGCCACTGCCCATGAGAACGGTTGGAGCTTGCCCAGAGAACCGGTTGGGGCAGGCCAGGGAGAGGGGCTGAGGTCCCTGAGAGAGGACTCACAGTAAGGCAGAGGGACAGGCGCCAGAGATTCTAAGTTGGGCACAGCGTAGTTCAGTCTCTCTTCCAGGACAGACCCCTCTCCTCGTCCTAACTCCGAGTCCTTACAGGGGCCCCTGGAAGATGCTAGAGCAGGTAGTCCTGCTCACAACAGCAACAGCCGGTCACTGTGCACTGTGCAGAGGGGCCAGGGGCTTAGACCTGTGCTGGCCAGTGCTCTTTGCAGGGACGTTGGCAAGGACAGAGCCAGTGAAGGATGGCATACGCATCCAGAGCAGCAGTCCCCACTTCACACACAGGTCTCTAAATCCCTGAGAGATGGCTGTTCTGCTTTCTCCTCCCAGACACCCTGACGACAGCGGGCCCCAGGCACGATTCTCAGGCAGCAGAAGGGACTCAGCTGCCATCAGAGCTCCTTCCCGCTCTCTGCCTCCTCCCTGAACGGGGCCTCCTGCCTACAGGTGGCTCCCGGCAGTGTCTCTCCCCTCCCCTCCCGGCATCCTCCAGGCCAGGGTGGAACCACTCACCCCCACAGCCTGCAAAGGCATGGGTCAGGGTTCACACAGAAGATGCCTACACGACTTACCTGAATGGAGAAGATTTAATATAAATGCTTGCATAGGTAGAAAATCACTAACCTGGGGACTGAAAACGTACAAAGAGAACTCTATAGTCTCACCCCAAGGCCGAGGGGGTAAAGGGAAGAGGCTAGCATAACTAAAACTCGGAAGCTTGGAGAGGTGGCCCAACCTCAGAGGGACTGGGACCCCAACCTAGATGGGACTCCAGCTGGTGCTGGCGTGTCTGAAGTTGGACGCAAGGAAGTTTGTTGGAAAAGCCACAAAATGGATCCAGCTCCCCACCCCGACCCTCTGCCTCTCAGATTCTCAGTATTTCTGTAGCCTCTTCATAAAAACACAACTCACATTCACACTGAAAGAAGCATATCCTGCCTGGTTGCTTCATCCTGCAACTCCACCAGCCTGGCAGACCCTGCCAAGGGTGAGAAATGTGGGGACCTAGCAAGATGGCCCTAGAACCTGTCAACTTAAAAAGCAAGTTTGTCTCTTATTTTATCTCAAAATGAGTTTATTCAGGAATTGCCAAAAGAATCGTAATTTGGGATGTGCATGCTATGGTGAACATTAGGCAAATCCAGCAAACAAAGAAGAGGAGCTGCTTTTATAGAAAAAAAGGGGAGTATGGCAGGGCTGTTCTAAAGCAAGTCCATTGGGGGAAAGTAACAGTTCAGGACGGCAACAGCTTCTCATTGGCTGAGCTGCAGCATTTCTCATTGGCTGAGCTGTGGCGTTTCTCATTGGCTGAGCTGCGGCGTTTCTCATTGGCTGAGCTGTGGTGCTTCTCATTGGCTGAGCTGCAGCATTTCTCATTGGCTGAGCTGTGGTGTTTCTCATTGGCTGAGCTGCAGTGTTTCTCATTGGCTGAGCTGCCGTGTTTCTCATTGGCTGAGCTGTGGTGTTTCTCATTGGCTGAGCTGTGGTGTTTCTCATTGGCTGAGCTGTGGCGTTTCTCATTGGCTGAGCTGCAGCATTTCTCATTGGCTGAGCTGC